AAATCAAATATATGAGTTAAAAAAAAAGAGAGAAATAAACCCTGGCAGCTTTCTCATACAGTGGTTCCTGTGCAAACTATCAAGGCTTCAAGCCTCCTCCTCCTCCTCCTCCTCTACCATTCTTAGGAAGGGAAAAGCCTATCTTTCAGTTTAAAACCCACTATTTGCAGCCACTATCTTTCACCTTAAGAAAAGAGACTAGAGTTTACCCTATTAAACCCTTATTAGTGAACACAGACACCAATAAAGGTAGTGCAATTGTGTATTCTTAATTATAGTTACAATACTTGTTAGAGGTGGGTAGCTAAAAACAGGCCAAGTCCCTCATCCTAATACTCCATGGAAATATATCAGATTCCTTCCCCAAAGCAAAATGGCCATCCTTCTAAACTATTCTCCTCTTTTGTTGCATTAACTGAGGAAGATAGATTTGGTAGAGAAGACACGCTTCACAGAAGAACGTAGGATCCCAGAAAGTGGCTCTTCCTTTCATGGCTACCTCTGTAGAAGTTCTTCTGTGTTAATTCAAGAACTGGCCCGGTTTGTGGTGTTGAGACGTTGCCTATCCCCCAACTCGCACTGTTCTCCACTGGTCTCCAGATACTAACAGCAATTTGAGCTCTTTTCTTCTTGCCTCGGCATCTCTTCTTTCTTCTTAGGGTCCAATTATTGATCCATGTGGTGTCTCCCTTTCAACTCCTACTGCTTCCCTATATACTATTTTCCCTCCACTCGCAGCTGATTGGTGACACAGCTTTGCAATTAAAAGTTCATTGGCTCTTAGAATTTCATTGACCTTTCATTTCTCCCAACAGCCTAATGGCCACTCAATCTAAAACATTTCATCCTCCAAGGTAAATTAGCATCTGGACATGAGTACAAAGCACTGCATCTAGTTTATTCTGGCCAAAGCATTGTCTCCCCTTCAGATGACACATGCTTGCTATAATAATGGTAAGTCTCAGTTGGGGTACTATGGGAGAAAATTTAAAACTAACACTGATTTTTCTTTATCTTCTTGTATGATTATGTGCATTTGTTCTTGAAATAGTGATAAATATTGGTGATATTAGTTTCAGATAGAGATGTCTAGTTATTGTTTTTAAAAATGATATAAGAAACCTAGTTCTGTACAACTAATGAATTCATGAAATAGTGAACTTCACATTCCATAACTATTGTAAACTTCCTGTTTATTTACTGATACATTATTCTTTTATCTACTACCTTTCTCTTTTTCTTTTTTCTTTTTGTAGTTATTCTGTTGGTCTTTTTCAAATGTTTTAATAAAAAGGAAAAAATTAAAAATCGTGTCAAAATCAATCAGTGGAGGTTATGCCTTGCTCAGAACATTAATCCTATAAAGCTCTACAGTGTCATCGTCTGTCATGGCTTATAAAACAAATGTAGGGTGCAAGAGGCTATTAAAACATACTGTGATCAGAGTTTGCCTGAACTTCTTGTGAAGCTAAAAATTAGCTCTGATATGGTGTGTTTTTTTTTTTTTTTTTTTGGTAAGATACATTCGTAAGGCAAGAAATGTGATCCCACATATAGCAGAAAGCAAGTGCAAACATAAATGAGAGGGGGAATAATGCCTGCAAGTTGTTTTGTGTAACTTTAATGAAATACTGTAATTGTATCTGTCATACCCATTCTGAAAATAGATGCGTTGGATAATAAGAGACTATCATTCTTAGGAAATTAGAATGCTGAGACCAGATATCTGTGATTATGCTTGACAGCAATAAGCCCTGGGTGTTTTATTTGTTTTGCCTCATTAAGATTGCTGTACCCATTATTTTCCAAGTTAAAAGGTGGCAACACACTGAACTACACTTTCTATGAACAACAACGTTAAGATGCGGAGACTGGGTGGCTGCTTTCAAGAGTTTGTACACTCTGTTTTAGAGGTGCCCTCTGGTGTTCAAAGAACACAGATTCACCATCTGGAAAGATAAGCCATAACCCATTGGAAAGATGATACTACTACCTTCAGTGCTGTTTTCTCAGTGATTCTAAAATGACTCTCCCATTTTGGGGGGAAAATAGTTCCTTTGAAGTTAGTATGTCTTGTAAAAATGAGTTATGTAATCTCCAGTTGTGATTTGAAACACAGCAAATATGCTCTCTGAATGTTCAAAAAACATCAAATCATTCAGTGTGACCCATTAAAAGAGGAGTGACCCTTGATACCATTTACAGAGTGAGATCAAGGACAAGCACTTTCAAATCATGTCCTGGGGAATATTGGTTCTTCAGTCAAAATATAAATACTGTACAGTAATGACAAATCAGTTTTTCCCCTGCCATGAATAATCAAAGGAAAATGGTAAGTAAGTTCCCTGAAGCCCTGTCAGTTAATTGGGAGCAATGATAAGTAGGAGTAACAGGACTGGACTGGTAGGCCACATTAAGTGGGAAAGCATCTTGGAATACATTGTGATCCTCCAGAAGTGCAACAGATCCTCGGCAGATAAAACTGCAAAAAGAGAACTGTGATGGAAACTGAAGACAGACAAATCCTGTCTGACATAAGAGCTCAGCACTTTCATGTTCGATCAGATTTGTAATTAAGTATCACTATTTGTGGAAATACCTTCATTTAAAAGCAGTGCTGCAAATTATACATAGTACTAAGATGATGCTAATACTATTATGAAAATGGAAGTGTGCCTTCCACCCATCCAAACAGGGGATGAATTTGATTATTAGAGACTCATCAGACTTTGAATATTAACAAAACCGTTCTTTATAACAAAACAAAATTATATGCTCATCAACTAATACCCCATTAGCAAATTTCCATGGGAAATCTTCAGATAACATTCTTTTGTAGGGAGAGGGGCCTGAATGCTTCCCTTACTCCACCTATGGGAACTGGAACATGCTGTATACTGGATTAAATTTCCTAGAGAATGCCCTAGGTCCTGCATACCATGTCACTGTTTTCTTATCCTGGACTATTTTCCACCATGCTCTAAAAATACTATAGGGTTGGGGCTTAAGGGTTTCTTTGAAAAGCACATGTACGAACAGTCTAAAAAGCTCCAATCCTCCGTATCCCGCCTTTCGAAATGTGAGGAACTGCTCCTCAAACTAGTGTTTTTCAAATCTGGCAACTTTAAGATGTGTGAACTTCAACTCCCAGAATTCCCCACCCAGCTGAACTGAACTAGAGGAATGTTTATCCAGGGAGCAATATGAAGGCCAAGGTAGCTCTTTTAGAGAAAAGGGTGTAGGGATCAGGTATACTCCTTTCTGTGCAACCTTTTTTAAAATAAAAATCTTCAAATCCTCTTCTCAAAAAGGTTATACATTTTTTCTCTTTGGTTTATTACAAACTGCTTCTGATCATATCAAGAGCCTTCACCTACGTCCTAGAACTATCTGAATATCCATGAACGCAGACTCTCATGTTGTATCAACATCTTGCATCAAAAACTTTGCAGGAGGAGGACAGGCATAAGATGTCCAACTTTTTAGACAGTTTGAAAGGCTGTGGAGGAATAACAGGTTCCAAAACCACCAGGAACAAAGAAAAGTATTGTGTGAAAGCCTGGGGCTCTTTGATATTCATTTTATCAACGGCTGCTTCCTGACTCTACTGTATGCCATGCCGTTATCACGGTAAGGCATTTTCAGTGTACTTAATTTTAAAGCAACAGAGGACATGTCTACATTAAACATCTCAACTTATTCCAAACCTGCTGCTTCCATAGAAGGAATGGCAACGACTTCAACCATCATTTAGCACATACACAATGTTAAAATTTCCCGAGTTCTTTGTGCAACAGCATTACAGTTGTACTTGTTTAACAAGGCTGAACAGGCAGTGAAGATATACATTTCAATCTGTTGCATTCTAAGACATTTTCCATATCTTGAAATGAATCTTTTCTTATATTTCTGTTGAAATTACAGATATCTTGTCAAACAGCCCCCTTAAGTTTCAAGTGGTAGGGCAGGGCTTTGGATTTGAAAGCAAAAAGGTGCTTTGGAGAAGACGGAGGAACACACATAGCACCCGTCTGCAACTCCCTAACCCAAATATATCTTTTCCTGGGATTGTACTGCAGCCATGAACAGCACCTGTACAATCCCAGGAGAAGAAACAGACACGCTTTAAAGGATTGCAGACAGGTGCCATATTTTGCCTTTGAACTGAAGCGCTGCACAGCCCTCAGAGCGACTGACTGTTAATCAAAGAACAATAAATTTGTCAAGTCATGCTAATTGGCAATGATTACACAGTAAGTACGCTCGCGCATGCTTCACCAGCATTCCAATTTCTCCTCTAGGCTGGCTAACCAAGAGAAATCTATATGTTTGGGCTTTTTTTAGCCAAGATGCTATTGGACTCCAATATTCATCAGTCTTAGCCAAAATGGCCAATGAGAGGGACTTGCAGTCCATATGCTGCATTAATCATCCTGGCTTTAACGGAAAGCTGTAAAGCAAGGTTCTCTTAACAAGCCTAAAACATATTAAAAAGAAAAAAAAACTGGGTTACCACTCTGGTTTTTTAAATAGAAATGCGTTAGGGATCTCAGTTCACACATTCAGCTTAGAACAAATACTTGACAGATCTGTGCAAGTTTGCAAAGTCAAAGCAGGAGAAATGTGAAACGGTTCAAGCCTGAATACAAAAAGTAACTACTGCTGTGTGTGTGGAAAGTGCTTTTTTAAATAAAATAAAAAATAAAAACAATGCTATATTCCTAGAACAAATGTAATACTATTCAAACAGGAGGTATTTATTTTGCTGGAGGTTTAATAAAAGCATAGTCCTATGGACTGGACCCTCTGTTCTACATTTCCTTCTTTTATAGTATTAGACAAACGTATTCAATGATAAAAAGCTGACCTAATGTTCTAGCTTCTTTGGTTCCTCTGAGAGAATCACATGGTTACCCGCTAAGAATTATGAAAGCACAGATTGAGTATCTCATGTGTCTAACCAAAACACACACACACACACAGAGTCTGAGCTTCCTTACCTGAGAAAAATTGAGACCATTCAATGGATGGCACTGTTCCTCCACTTTTTCCACAGCCCCGGTCTGCTTTTGGAGGCGTTCAGCCTCCTGTGCCAGATACAGATCCAAGACAGGCACACCACGTGACTTGATGTCCACCTCAGTCAGAGAATTCACCATTAGCATGACCCAAACAGGCCTTTTCCTCTCCCAGTTGCCTGCAATAGCATTGAAGAGATAGTCAGCATACAGCCCTTTGCCTCGTTGATCCGGAGTCATCCAGGAAGGCATCATGAGCTTGACATACTCCAAATGGCGCTTGAGACGGCGGTAGATGTCTCTGGGGAGCACATCCTGAAGGTTCTCACCCTGCGGCAGGAGCTGGCAACTGGTTAAAGCAGAGATTGTGTAGGGATCTGTGAGGTCCAGCTCGAAGTAGACAATATGGCTCTCCTGGAAGGCTTTCTTAGAATTCTCAGGGACATAATCCCAGACTCGGGTATACGGGACATGAATGGTACCAAAAAAGTAAGATGGCGGGTCTCTCTTTATAGTCCACAGGAAGGAGTTCAGCTCACTTTGCTGAAGGAAAGGAAACACAGCAGTCAAAATAAACAAGGCTATTTGTGTGGAAACAACATGGGGAACAACTAATCATTAAGCGAGATGGATGAGTCGCACGGCCTGTCATTAAAGTTACTGAGAAAGCTGTAGATTGGATACCAATCTTGAATGAGGCTAAATTTCTCTTGCAAAAATTCAGAAAGGCAGGGAAAAATCCAAAAAACAAAACAAAGCAAAAACTTGTCTTCATTAGATATTAGATTCTCCTAGTAATAGGCTACATAAGTGTTGATACAGCTGAAATAGAAAAATGAACAAACACTGAGAAATGAACAGAATCGCACAATTACTGATTTCAGCTAGAGGAAAATGGACTGATGTTACATAGAGCAATTTTTAAAAGGCTGTTTAAATTCACATATTTAGAAAGCTTTTTTCCCTCTAATCTGGTATCTCCAATCTCTTTTGCTTACTACACCTTATTCTGTGCTTTGCACAATGTTATTTATCCCCAAAAGAAAACAGTACAATAGGTACGTATATATGTAAAAGGAAAAGAAAAAAAAAGAAAAACTTTGACATTATACATCAATAATAAACCCTTCTGTAAATGCTCCTATAAAAAGGCCAAGGCCACAACTTCTCCCAATAAGCAAAAAGAAACAGGATGCTGCAAAAAGCCTTCAAACGTCCATAAAATGTATTTTATAACTCTGAAAATCTCATAGGAGATTGATACGAGCCCGGCCTATAGATAAAGGCAAAGCAATTTGGGGTGGGGTATGGGGGCGAAAGAAGGATGCCTCTTTTATTTGTTGATAAGATGAATGAAGATAACTGAGTCCGAAGAGGCGAGAAGTGTCACCTACCCACTTAAAAGCAAACAGTGAGTCCTGAAAGCTGCCACAGGCATGGAGGGGGTTAGGAAGGTCAATAGGCCTTTGTTTTAAATAAGCCTGATCTGTATGTGACAAAGAGCACACAGACAGACCCAAGTCTTTCTAAAAGGCATTTTAGAATGAAAAGGCATTGCCCCAGGCCCACTCAGAATTTGATTAACGCCCACCCACTCTCCACCCCTAACATAATAAAGGTCCCAAGATGAGACAAAGCCCTTTGCAGGTCACTCCTGCTTGCTGCCAGGACTCAATCCTGCACAAGAAAAAAGCCGTTTATGCCCTGAAAAAGTGCTCTTCTCACACAGTAAGTTTCTCTGAAACCTGTGGCAAAAGAGAGGCTATAGAACCAGAACCCAGGAAAACATAAGTAGATCTTACAGGAGATCTTTGTCACATACAGATCAGGCTTATTTAAAACAAAGGCCTATTGACCTTCCTAACCCCCTCCATGCCTGTGGCAGCTTTATAGAGCCGACAGAATGGCAGGCAGTGAGAACTCGGCCATCACTTTCTGAATCAGGTCCTAGATCTAAAATTCCATCCTTCTCCCTTCTCTCAGGTCTGGTGAATTATGAGTATCCCCAGGGAAGGTGGCTATGGCAAGGAATGCCCCTGTTCCCAAACTGACAGCACAAGCTCCCTTTCCTGGTTTTCTCCATTGCTGAAAAGTCCATCTGAATAAAAATACCTTTCCCTGCTAATGGAAGTTCAACAGAAGTGGAGCTAGGCTGACTTTTCTTCGTGGCAGATGGGCCTAGAGACTGACCACAGGCATCCACGAGGCCCTCTCTCACTTCCCCTAGACAGATCTGGTGGTGGTGGTGGGACAGCTTGCCTAGTCTCTTTTGTGGAGTTGGACACAGATTCCCCAGCCCAATATGGTTATTTCCAAAACACAGCCCAGTTACATGAGAAGTACCAATAATCTGAAACCGTTTACAAGGAATGTAAAGCTTATCGCTATGTGTTTGCAGTTGAGTAATGCTCATCCATACATGACAAGCAGGAAGCCCACTGGCCACACAGAGCCCACATGAGAGAAGCTACAGCCTATCTCAACTTTTTGACTCACATTTATTCTTATTGTACATTTCTGTGTGTGACAGTGGTTTCTGTGTCAGTGAGAGTACAATTAATGTATGTAGATGTGAATTAGTTCATTTTATTAATGAGGTACTTTTACAGTCAATGAATGTTAATTATTTTTAATATACTTAATACTTTTGAATTATTATCGTGACCTTGCCTTTTTGTAGAGTGCCTGGCAGGTATATATACACACACATATATATATGCCCAATTATATGCAAAGGTTTCATGGATACACACATTTGGGGGGGGACGAGATTTCAGGATTGGTTTCAGCTGTAATTGACACTAGGTTTGGCAAGGTGGGGAAGATGGGGCATTAGAGAGGATTTTTGTCTTAATTCAGATTTTTTTCTAGTCAAATCTTCTTTTGGGTGGGGGACTGTCTTAAATTTAGGATCACAGAACTATAGAACTGAGCAGAACATATAGGCCACTGAGTCCGACCTCCCACTCAGTACAGAAGTCCAAATTCGGAGTTGTTTGAAGTCAGGAGACATCAAATAAAATCTAATAAATAAAAAATACATTCAAGCAGGACTGACAAATAATGCTTCTAGCCTCCAGCTGAACATATCCAAGGAGGGGGAGTCTGTCTCCCAACCCCTCTCAGTAATGATACTTGATACATTCAGATGCTCTCCCAAAAGTCTATCGTGCAAAAAACTCATGATGATCACATACTTAGATACTCAACCAGGAAAATGATCCTGGACCTAACTGAATAAGATTTCCTAGACAAGCTCTACTGAAATGAATGGAGAGTTCTACGAACAGCTTTTCCTTAAGGTACTTAGAGCCTAAGTGGACTATGATGCTTTCGGCAGGAAAAGCTGTTTGTTCCCATGAGCAAAGGATCTTGCGGCCAGCTATCTAATAACTTTTATTTTTAAAACATTTAAAATAGATACTAAGTTCATTCAAGCTATGGCTACTGCCTTACTTTTCCAGGAAGAAAGAGGTTGTATTTATAGATCCAAAACAGGAAACAGCATTCCATTCACACCAGTAACACTTTCCTATTACTTTCCTTAATGCTGTATTGCAGTTTAGCAGAAATATTTCCGAAGCAGCAACATGTTCTCCCAGATGGTCTGGATTTGAAAATGCCATTTTTTAAAAATTACACACCAAAATCCGACATTGTTTTCATCTTCAAAGCTATTTGACAATTATTTAATAGGGACCGCTAGGGCAACAATAAAAAGGAACATTCATCAGCGTTGTCTATCTTATTAAAACACTTAGATTCCATTTACCCAGGTCAACTTCAGACACAGCAGAAAGATTGCATCTCTGTCGTTTTCCACATCGCTGTCATTAAGAGTGGCCCAATGTGGAAAACAACTATGTTATCTTGGATTACTTCTGCTATGAATTTAAATTATTTATTATAGAGGTAGTCCTCGGTTAGTGACTGCCCCATTTAGTGACTGTTCACAGTTACAACGGTGATGAAAAAGTAACTTTACAATCAATCCTCACATTTACAACCTTCACAGGTCTGTAAAGCAAAGGAAAGCTGAAATAAGATCATAAGCAGAGTCACAGTTTCACTTAGTGACTGCTTTGCTTAACAATCAATTTGCCAGTCCCAATTGTGGTCGCTGAATGAGGACTACCTGTACTTCTATTTTGTTCAAAGAAAACCAGTTTGGTGTAGCACTTAAGACACCAGGCTAGAAATTGGGAGACCATGAGTTCTAGTCCTGCCTTAGGTGCAGAACCAGCTGGTTGACTCTGGGCTAGTCACTCTCAGCCCTAGGAAGGAGGCAAGGGCAAACCACTTCCAAAAATCTGGCCAAGAAAACTGCAGGGACTTGTCCAGGCAGTCGCCAAGAATCAAAACTGACTCCAAGGCAGTTTATTATTAATCTGTCCAATAACCAAAGGTAAAAGCTGTAGAACATTTTAGAAGGTACTATAAGCATCTTTAAAAAAAAAAAGAAAGTAAAACAACAAAAATAAAATACTGTTAATAAATAGCACAGCAATGAATTGTGCTACCTCAGTATAGAGCAGAACTTTAACTAACTACAGAAGTATAAAATTGCTGGTTTCCTGGAAGTCTTACAAGAAAACCTAGAGCTATAGACTAACTGAGCCAGCTGGTTGACTCTGGGAGCAACAAGGGCAAACTGCTTCAATATTCTTCTCAAATGTTGGCCCTGATAATGCCCATTCTTTGCCTGCAATCAAATATTCCATAAAGCCATATGGAACAGTGCTACAATACTTTTTAGGTGGCAGCATTATAAAGTATTATGCAAAGCCATTTGGAGGATCTCATCAAGCACCTCCCAACCATGTTGCCTAAAGCACTGAAGTGCTACATCTCTCCAAGACTTGTGTGCAATTTTTAGAGTTTCCAGAGATTCTCCAGGCATACCTGTGTAGCGCAGGTGCAGTCACCAGGATACTGTCCCCAAAGAAGCAAAGGTCAGGTGAGGTGGGGAGGTACAACTGACTATGGAAGGACATGGTGCTTTCAAATTTCCATACTTCAAGCAGAAGATGTGGAGGTACTTTGCCAAGCCCTCAGAATGTTTTTGTACAGCCTTAATACGTGGCACCTAAAAGTATGCTTCTCTCACAACGGAAGAAAGAAGGGCCCTTTCCACAACCACCCCCCATTCATATAGTTCCACATGCATGCATTCTTCATTTTGAAACAGGTAGTAACAGTGCAACCACACCTCAATTCTGTGGTTAAAAACTGGGGTCACATCTGGAGAGTAGAAGATGAAAGAGGGCATATCCAAGAGGCCAAACATCAGCAGTCAGGACAGCTAAGTGTATCTGGCCTGACATTAAGTGTTGCAGCATCTTTCTATTATTTTTAATAAATGTTATATTTGGGAGTAAGTTGCTAGCCATGAGTGCTGAAAAAAATGTGCATGTGACTATTTTTATCTTACAACATTTTCTAAAGCAAAATGGTGTTTCTTATCTCCAGGAAAAAAAATAACTCTATTGCCATAGAAGCAGATTCCATGTTATTCCTGTAACAGTGGTGGTTCTATGCTTTGA